ACGAAACCTTTTGTTAATCGTTATAAAATCTATTTGGTTTCTGATTATATTGTTGGTGTTATCTTTTGGAGAAGTCCACGTGTATAATCTTCGTAGGGGTAGGTCGTAGTATGTATTTGTTATGACTAATTCTTTCTCCTGGCAGTACTGGACTAGTCTGTCTCCTCTTTCGTTTCTTTTACCTAACCCAAAATTTCCTACTATATTTCCAGTTTTTCCTCGACCGACTTTAGCATTAAAGTCGCCCATAATTATTTTTACCTCCTGCTTCTTTATGTTTTTTGTTAACAGTTCTAAGTCCGCGTAGAATTTTTCGACCTCAGCATCATTGCTATCAGATGTTGGAGCATACACTTGGATTAGATTTATGTTTAGAGGTTTGGCTTTCAGCTGAAGTAGCATCATACGTTCGTTAAAGGGAATGAAATTTGTCACAAACTCTTTTAAGTTATTGTTGATAATAATACCAACACCATGGCTGTGTTCTCCAGTGCTTTTGCCTGAGTAGAAAATAGTATTATTATCCTTGGTGTAGTTTCCAGACTTTGGCCATCGGACTTCTGAAAGGCCCAATACTTGTATGTCTAATCTCTCCATTTCTAACATGACTGTTGTTAATTTTCCTGCTTCATAAAGTGTTCTTATATTCCACGTTGCTATGCGTTTTAAATCGCTTACACTAAATTTGTTTCTCCACCCGGGGATTCTTCGCACCCCTGTCCCATTAAAGGGACGCCGGGCACTCGGGGCCACTGTTTGATTTACGTCCATTTGTGGTTGTTCTTGAGAATCCTTAGGGATCTTTAATGCAGTGGTTTCTCCTTGCTTTCTGCATCCTTATGCCGTTGATCTTGGTTCATCCGCCTTTGTGATCGATTTCTCAATCTCAGGACAAAAGAGTGCCCTTCCACTTACCAACTCATCCGCCCGAAGCCGTTGGTCAGTAAGTGGGGGTTTGCTTATACCGGCAAACATTCGGTGATTTCGCAGTGTCACAACCGGTTAAATCATAATTACCGCCTGTGATTATTCAGTATCAGACCGGTAAAGAGATTTTCTACCGCTCCGATCCTGTAATGACATAGCAGCTGCCCTATGCCATGCTCTCAGTTGATCCGCGGGTGTTTATTTGGCAGAGCCTTATTCACACCTGCCCCACATATCTGTAGGACGTTCCCTATCAGCCATTGGGACGCGCCGTGTTGAGGTTGAGAACTACCCCCTCCGAGTGTGTTTTCCAAGAAGTACTGAAGAGCCCCTACTCAATTCAGAACTCCTCCTTCTTGGAAACTACACCGGCACGGTATATATATATATATATATATATATATATATATATATATATATATATATATATATATATATAGTATAATGGTAAGGTTAATTGGGTTAGCAGCTGAAGCAGTTAGCAGTTTTAGTTAGTTAGTTAGCAGTTTTCAGCTGCTAACCCAATTAACCTTACCATACTAATAATTATATATATATATATATATATATATATATATATATATATATATATATATATATATATATATATATTAGTAAACTCTTAAATATTGGAGAAATCTGCAAAAAAACTCTAATGTGTATCAATTATTTCACCTAACGTTTTCGCCAAAGAGAATTTGGCTTCTTCAGGGCTGAAAGAGAATAAATTATAATTAGCTACCATATATTATCTAATAAAAAACATTTACCTTACCGTGAAATTTTAGAAATGTCGAGTTATGATGTTAAAAAACTTTAGCTAGTAACAACATAGTGGTGTTTTTTTTTGTTACTATGTGCAAAAAAGTTTATTTGTTAACGTTGGAAATGTATGGTAGCTTTGAACTTAAAACGCAAAGGTTTACCCAAGGACAATCGAAAAACCCAATGTAACTACATTTAAAGGAAGTAATTCTTTGAATTGTCGGCAATAACTAAATTTTTAATTAATTGATGGATTCGACCGTTACTTGATGGAAATTCATTTTATGTAACAATAAAACACTGAAAACTTTGTTTTCAAACTTCCACAAAATTTATTTTAAATATTATCACTACAGCTGTTTCGGCTGATTGCCTTTCTCAAGTAGGCGACTTGAGAAAGGCAATCAGCCGAAACAGCTGTAGTGATAATATTTAAAATAAATTTTGTGGAAGTTTGAAAACAAAGTTTTCAGTGTTTTATTGTTACAAATTTTTAATTGTTGTAAAGTTTGAATGTGAGCTTCTGTTTTCATAGAACGCAAGCGCCGAAACAGTTACAAGTAGTTCTTTTGATATCAAAGTCGTTAAGGTTCATTGGTAAAACCGATGAAGTTAGATCCCAGTCTGGGGAGATATTAGTTTAGAATTTCTAATTGAAATTCTTTTTTTTAATTAGTATATTGTTCATGTATTATTGTAATAATATTTTATTGAGATGTATCTAAGAAAAGCAAGGGAATGTTATCTTTTTTTGTTAATGAAAATTATTATTAAAGTAGGTTAGTTGTTAATAGATATATCAGTCAAGTTGGTTATCTGTGATGTTGTATTGTTCTTGGTATCTGATTTAAGTAAGAAGTGGTATATATCGCTTAGATTCTTAATGTCATTTTTAACATTGATGGAAAAATCGTTAAGGAAAATATAAGACATTTCAATGAACTCTCTTTTAGATTTATTGCTCTCACGGTGGAGAATTGTAGTGTTCGTATAGTCCATGTGATGACCAGTGGAATGGACATGTTTGGCTAATGCACAGCGGTCAGGGTGAAGTAAATAGTTTCGGACGATTTTCACATTTGGTCCCATTGAAGATAGCCTCAAATTAGCTGTCAATTAGCTGTCACAGAACGAAATATTGCGTTGGCAGTGTTGCCATGTTCTTATAATGTATATGTTATATGCTTCAAATACAAAGAGATAAAGCTTTTAAAAGGTACATTTTTATCATATTATTTTATGGATTCTGCAATTTTATACCTTATATAAAATATTAATGAAGTAATATTTGTTTCGTTTGATATTAGTTGTAACAAATTATCAGAAAATTTTTTTGGCAATTGCCCTTTGGTAGGTTAGCGGATAGATTTGGCAATAGAGTCAGAACCCTCAAACCACAAGCTGCCAGATTGCAACAAATGCCTTTTAAATTTTATTATTTATACTGACATTTTACTATTTACTGTTAAAAACTGTTTTAAAACTATTTGCTTTTTCTTTTTTTCGTAATCGTTAAATATTAGTTTTTAAATATCTTATTGCTTTTAATTGCGTATGTTTCGTTTGTAATGTAAATTTCAACACTGCGAAACACCAATATTTCATTCTGTCAAACCCATTTGAAGCTATCTTCAATGGGACCAAATGTGAAAATCGTCCATAGTTTCTGTTGCAGCATTCTATAATTAGGGCTCTTAACAACATTCACCCATTTATCAAACATATCCATATAAGAAAAACTATATTGTTTGCCAATGGCCAGTAGTATCCATGCAATCTGAAACACATCTTTTTTGTTCAGTTCTTCGTCTCTACATTGTTATTCCATGTAATGTGTTCGAGTCCATAATAAAAAATCGTCTAAAATTGTACCTTTTTGCACCACTGATATAAAAAATTTTAAATTTCAAAATAAATGGGCGCCAAATCCGAACATGATTAGGCTATCTCTGTTACCAATCTAGGTAAATTTATCTATGGTATAATATATAGACTACGCAGTCCTCTATTCTCGCTATAGAATCGAGTGTCCGAAAGATCTCGGCTCAAGGTTGAAGGTATGTTTATCAGAACAGCGGCGTGCTCATTTATATTTTAATGACAATAATTATTTTTTTAATTAAAATTTAAATATTTATGATTTCTTTTTGTTCCCATCTATAAGAGAAATAATTATTTTGATAAAATAGTATGGCATTTTACTAAAATAGTAAGTAAATAACTTTCAACAATTTAAAATAAAATTTGCTTGTCACACAAAATGGAGAAAATGTTGTCATACGTCCATGATGTTTTCAAACACAAGATCAACTTCGTGATGATTGTTATTTCTCTATGGTGATGCTTCGTAAGAAATCATGAACTTCGTGTATCTTCGTATCAAAACAATAAACAATAACAAAGGTATTCATGTTTTGGACACTTTTTAAAACGTTCACCGAGTCTATATATTATACGTCATTGGTCTAAACTCAACTTTGAATTTTCCACAGCACACTCCCTCCGCGCAGGAAAGAGACTAGCAGCGCCACCATACGAATGGGCGCCAAATCCGAACATGATTTGGCCTTGGCTATCTCTGTTGCCAATCTAGGTAAATTTATCTATGATACTCTCTAGACCTTTCACGTAAATGGTCAAGACAGCAAATTACTTGCCTGTCCAATACAGAGATGTCGCCCTCAGTCAACTGTCTTGTCATATTTAACAATTGACATTGACAATTAAATTGTAGGCTGTTTGTTTATTTATGTAAATAATTTAGTCACAGAACACTAAAGTATTCTGTGATTTAGTTGTTTACACCATGCGTTCGATTATCCCGTGTTGTGTTTCCACATGTAGAACAAACAATATTTTGCTTCATAGGTTCCCAAATCCTAAAAAGCATCTTAATATATTTCAGTTTTGGTTGCAGAAAATAAATAATCCCGAACTGTATTTAATGGATCCTGAAAAAGTTTATTCCAATAGACGAGTGTGCCATGAACATTTCGAGAATATATATTTTTCCGAAGGTTGTAAAAGGTTACATACAAATGCAATTCTAAGTTATTTATCTAAAAAATCCTACAAGTTATTCTTTCAAAATTTTCATTTAACTGAATGTTAAACATTGATTTATTACAAAAACAGTGCTGTAACATGATATTAGCGTTAACCTTTGGAACAAATTGGAAATATTTGAAGTTTTTAGTAAAATTATGATTTTTGTTTACCTATATTGGTATTTCAGCCATAATTACAACACTAACTACTACCAAAATTTTCAAATATGTATATTTAGATTACAGTAATCATATTTTCAGGTAATGAAATAAATAATCTTATTTCCAATCCTATGATTAAACCTGGAGAAACTGAAAAAGAGGACAGGATTGAGTTAGGTGAGTATGACTCTTTAAAGTATTTTAGTTCCATCCATTAGACTAAAAAATATTTCTGTTATAGTTATCTCCCAAGATCATTGTTATGCTCGATCAACGAGATGTATGGAGCAAGAAAACTACAGAGACTATGCAGAAAGTATGTTGAAAGTATGTATGGTTTGTGGTGATTGTATCAAATAGCATCGGAACTACTGAAAGTAGGAGGAGATGTTTTACTAAAAACAATACATAACCGCACTAAAAATTCGTGATGAGTTTAAAGATTATTTTATATCTCCAAATAAGAGAGTAGAGTTTCAAGAGCATACCATTCAAACACATAATTTAAAAAAAAAACAAATAAATTATTACAACCAAATTATTTATTATTTCTGTCTTCCATTACAACCTGTTGAATATCTTCAAAAATTGTGGTTTCCAATTTAGTTTTCATATTGGGACATTTTATTTCTTTCATTTTTGCACCACAGTATTTTTAAAAATAATCAGTAGCATATGTTCTCAGTCCCCAGTAGCTTGGGGTCCTCAGGCCCTTGTTCGGTGCCTCAGGTACTGCAGTTCTATTTTTATAGGATAGGTGTCAAAATTTCGACCAATCATGTGCCAAATCACATACAGTTTCTGGTAAAAGAACTTGCATAGTGTCATACAGGGCAAAAATGTACGTACAAGAAACGATACAAGAAAACATAAATATCTTTCTATATCAGAAACGATATAAGAAATGATACAAGAAAATGCATAGTGTCATGCGGCCTTTAAAAATATATTATTCAAACATAAAGTTAGGTTAGAATTGACGTGTAAGGTTGTCCGACACAGTATAGACAACAACAATAACAGTTGTTATTTATACTGTGTTGTCCGATATCACGGTTCCTAGACTTACTATGGATGCCTCTTCCGCCTAACCAATGAACATTAAGCCGGATTGTACTCCTGTGACGTAATTTGAATCTTACATTCAGCCCTGTGATTGGATGGATGTATCAAAACAAAAATGTTTTATAAATAAAGTAGGTTGATTTCATGTAATCAAATGAACTATTTTACAATAAAGCCAAGTTAAAGTTATTTATTTATGTTAATATACAATAAAGTACTTACATATGTCAAAAAATAGTATAAAATAAAAATTAACATATTAAAAACATATGGTATAATAATGCATATATACGTTAAGGCAAACATTACACAGAATATTATATTCTGGGTTCCCAGGTATACACAAAATGGGATTCATCATCATCAATACACAAGCCAGTTCGAAACATTAAAGTTAAAATTTAGGAATTCATCACTTGAAAACTGCTTCCCCTTCAACCAATGGACTCTTTGCTTCACCACAATAATACTCAAAGATATCATTAAGGTTAATTTCCATTATTAAATGATACAAATAACTCGTCTTAAACCAATCTAAACATAGAAAAGCAATGGTAAATATTCGAATGTTATGTTTGTTTTTGTTTACACCATTTATATCGGCCATGACACTGCAATCGACCTGCCCTCTACATTCAGTTTCAATCGCGAATAAATGGGTTTTGTATTCTTGTGTACTCCTGTGACGTAACTCAAGCATCCCCACCCCAGTCGGAAGAGGCAACCGTAGTAAGTCTACGAACCGTGGTCCGATATTGATTACTCGATTACCGCAAGGCCGAGATATACAACAAAAAAAAGAAGATGTATTTCGTGACTTTTCTAGTAACTTTCTTGGGTGTGAATCTGTCTTTTTGGTTTACTCCTCCTGGAGCCCTATTCACTAACTTAAGTGAGTGGTCGTGTAGGAGTTCTTTCTCACAATTTTGCTTTAATGCGCAAGTCACTCTCCTGAAATTCTAAAATCCGTATTCACGAAAATGTAAGAGAACGCTCATATACTCCTATGCGAGTACTCTCCTACTCTACTGGGTAAAACTAAGAGAATTGCGAAATTTTAAGAGAGTGGACATGCGCCGTAGAAATTATAAGTGACAGAAGGCCAATAAAACGAAGAATATTGTATACAATAGGTACAGTTTATATGAAAGGTTATTGAAATTTTAAAAAGGTTGTTGACTATTTGTATTTGGTTTTTATATATTGTTTTCATAATGGATGATGACGATATAATAATGTTAATGTTAATCGCCGATGTTGAAGAGGCGGAAGAACAAGCTGAAAATAATATACCACGTCTCTATTTCCAACGGGAAGACCCTTTTTTAATGTTATCTGAGGTGAATTTTATTAAACATTTCCGTCTCAACACACAACATTTTTTTAATATATAACTAAATATATAACTAAAAGTTCTTAAAAGTATAAAATATAACTAAAAATATATAACTAATATATAACCAAAGAATATAGACGCTTAATATAACTCAAAGTTCTTAAAAGTTAAAAGTATAATAATATAATAGTTTATAAATAACGAGAACGAGAATTGACAAAACAAGTGATACAATCAGATACAACTAACCTAACAGCAAAAACTTTGCTTCTTCATTTCGTTTTATCGTGAAAATGGTTGTGGCTAGGCCTACAGTAGGTACATTTGAACTAAATAATAGGTCAAAGTTACTCGTTCGCTTTGGCAACGCTGGGTAAAATGTAGTAGACTCGCTGAATCATAGTGAATAGGGTTTTTTAGCACCATGTGAGCGATGACCGAGAGAGTACTCACATCGATGAGTTGTCGTGCACGACCACTCTCACGAGTTGCAGAATACGGATCCTGGTTAAAAAACAGAGTATAAATCTGACAAAACTCCATACAACACAGAACATAATATTATGGTGACATTTGTCGCCAAGTGACGTCACACGACTGATCGCGTGCGCGTGGGTTTATCTTTAGTTCATAGCATGATACTATGAATAACAAGATAGGATCTTCCCGTAGCTCAAAATCGGTCGGGTTCGCGCATGCCGTCATTGGAGACTAGAATTTGAATTCTTGTTAAAGTTAAATGAGATTTGTATGCATTCTGTGATGAAATTACTAGACGAAAATAAGTTAGGAGGTTTAACAATTACAATAATCGTACACATAAGGATATCTCCAAACTATTTATTAAAGATTATTTATTGATATATACAAAAACTGACATTTCTAACGTGCAAGTCTCCAATGACGTCACAAAAACATGCGCAATATCTTATCTTATAGTCATAGTATCATCAGAGAACTACGAACGCAGAGAAGCGACACTCCTTTGATCTTGCGTGGGCAAGCCGCCAGCGAGTGAAAATGACAGGAAAGCACCTTATTTTTTAATAGTCAGTGGGCATATTTCACAATATAAATTCTTAAATAAAATTGAGCATTTATGTTGACTTTCAATAAATATGAAATATTGCACTGAAAAAATAATTACATGCAGGGCCGGCTTTTGTTGACATTCTAAATGGTGTAATTATTTTTGATTTACAAAAGGTTGCAAATACATCGCACAACGCAAAGTAATGGTGAAAATCGTATTGATGGAACCATAGATGAAAATAGTTTTTTGTTTATTCTGATGTTGACGTTGATAATACAATAATACACCGATTCTTTTTGGCTTGTGTTGATACAAGATATAATTTGTTCGTCGTGGAATTTCCTAATAAATTATCTTTCGTAATATAATAGAAAAATAACAAAGCCATTGTAACTGCCACGGAAATTTAACAAACTCTAAAAATTCCAATTCTCTTTGGGTGAGACTGAGAAACAAGAAATTTTATATTGATATCGATTGTTAATGTCTTGGAAACCAATTAAAATTACATTTTTCCTTTAAAGTCGAATATTGGAGTAAACGATATTCAACTAAAACGAATAAAAAATCAAGAAGTAACTATTGTACGAGTATATTTCTATAAATATAAAAATGTAATAACCTAAAAAATAATCAAAAAAGTATTACGAATCATTACAAGAGAGCATTAGGAAGATAAAACGAATTTATATTATTGTCATTACACATGATTCGGATATACATAGTAAATCCAGACTTTCAGTTTAAACTAATATTTGGATACAATTTATTTTGTTTCCAATAGATTCAGTGTTAATACATACGATTTTTAGTTGATTGGTATTGCCTTTAAAATTATTTGTAGTATCTAGTTTGCCTAAGCCGGATTTGTAACAATTATTTCTGGTTTTGTTGTTAACTGCGGTTAGTACAATTCTTATACTTAAAGTCAAAACGACGAACCATTGAACCTTCAGGCCAGATACTGGGATTGAGAACTTCATTTTTATAATCCAATGGATATGAAACTTTAAAGTTTGCTTGGTACTCCGTAACCTTTAACTTCTTGAAGTAAAAATGTATATTTGGAGCATTTACCTTTAAATTATTGGTCAAATCTTCCGTTGTCTGTTGTGGAATTATATTATGGTGTAAATAAATAATGATTGATTGGAGTAAGATTTATGTCTGTTTACTCTTAATATTGGCTATGGGCATATGTGCTTCATTGTAAATATAGTAATTGTCATCCAGTTCTAGTCTGTTAAAATGTAACTAACTTTTGCATTAAAAGAATTACTAAAATACTAGACAGTTGTGTCTGAGATTAGCGAATCGACTATACATACACTACATACATTCAGTATCATTGTATATCCAAGATGGACGCCGCTACACAATAGCGGATTACTTATTTTTTCACAACTACTTCAATATGGGTATCAAATGAAAGGGTTTGACTAGTAGAAAAGAGTTCATTACAGAAAATCCAAAATGGCCGCCAACAAAATGGTGGATTACATACTTTCGTTGGGCGTACTGTTGTACGCCAATGATTTTTTTTATTTTTATTGACTTCCGAAAGGCATTTGATCGTATTAAGTACTCTATATTGATCGAAGTTCTAAGAAACATTGGTTTGGATGGCAGCAGAGACGTTCGCATAATTGCAAAGTTGTATTGGAATGAAACATAAGTTTTAGTAGACGGTTTGGAATCACATCGCCGTTTACTTCAAAAGAACGTTCAGAAATGCATTTTCTGAAAAACAAGAAGGAATAATTATGAACAGTGACTTCATAAATAATTTGCGATATGCGGACGATACAGTACTCCTAGCTTCTACTCCAGAATATTGTGCAAACATTTAGTTTTGATGAGCATTTAGTTTTTTCATAATTTAATGTAAGTTTGTTTGGTGAAAAAGACAGCAAATATTTGAAGTTA